GTGTTCGTTTCTTAACGAACGAGCCGAACACAAACCGAACACGAGCTGTTCGCGAACGACGAGCCAATTTGACATCCCTAATATTAATATATAAAAATAATATTATATATTAATTATATAACTTATATTATATAAATATACAATATCTATATTAGTATATTACTACTATAGTATATTAATATATTACTATTATTATTTTATTATATATTATAATTTATAAAATTTGATGTTTTAAAATATAATAAATTTTTTATATATAATTATTTTATATTATTTTATATTTCAAACAATAACGATTCGAACACGAACAAACGCATCACTGTTCGTGTTTGGTTCGTTTAACTAACCGAACCAAAAAAATTTGTTCATGTTTGTCTCGTTTACTTATCGAACGAATCGAACACGAACTCATTGACGAACCGAACACGAACTGTTCGCGAACAACGAGCTTTTTTGACAGCCCTAATCATAGTGCAGTGTGCTTGGCTCCTCGGAATAAATCCTACTGCAATTTCAGCATCTAACATAATAACTAAGGCATAAACATTCATTTATTTTAACTGGTTTTCGTGTTCGCCAAGTTTTTGCTAATTGGTTCTTTGTTCTCACCAAATTGAGCTAATCTCTTCTTAGAGGTTCTCTTATTCACACTCTCATCATTGATTTTCATATATGCTTGTTGATGCTTATTAGTATTGCTGTTAGTATATTCACACTCTTAAGTTTCTTCTTGATAATTTTCTCAATGTATTCCCAGCTCACTTCTTAGTGTCTCCTTTTCACACTCTCTCTCGCTTCGTAATGTCTATACCTCGTTGTCTCTCGCCGGCTTCTCAATCTCACAATTTCCATAAATTTTAATTATTCTTTTATTACTTCATTATTTATAACATTGATTGTTTTTTGCATATCCATAATGTAAAATTATGACAATTTAATGTATCATTATAGTTGTTAAAACATTATACCTTATGTAAGTTTTGACCATCGTATAAAAATAATGTGCATATGTGATAGACTAAGTCATGAGAGTTCTAGTTAGAAAAAGCAATGCTTCGCTTTGCACTTTTCAAGCTGAAGTAAATCCTACCACATAAATTGCATTTGGTGTTTTGAAAGCCCTATTAGTTAAATATGGTTTGCATAAAATTTTCCTCGACTTAGATTTAAGTTAATCCCAATCTACTTTTAAGTTCTCCAACTTAACTAGCTATAATCCCAATTTAAGTTTCAAAATCCCATCAAAATAAGCTCTAAATTACTCACATCACCAACCATCACACAAATACTCGAGCAAAATGGGACCATAAGACTCTCACATAATCACAATAGACACCACTTATTCTTAATTAGAAATACTGTGAGGCATGTTTTTGGGCATACCTCAAAACCAAAGCTCTGCCCACGAGATAAAACTTTGATATCTACAATAATACAATTAAATATAAGAAAAAATAAGATAAAAATTGAAAATTAAAAAATGAAGCCTCCATATCTAACTCTATAATGATGAATAAATCAAAACTTAAATTAAATCTTCATTCTATAAATTCAATGATAAGATTTATTAATAAAAAGATGCTGAATTCTGTGAAGATGACCGAAAATAAGCTTACCATAGATATTTGAGCCAAGTAACGAAATCAAAAAATCACTTTAAGGTTATGTTGTGTTTTTCTCACGTAAATAATAAAGTTTCCCCAAAATATAACCAAAAAAATCAAGTGCTACTTGAAAAATAAGTCATTAAGGATAACACATACATTGACTGGAGCACATTGTAAATGTGGCCTCCGTAATAATGAAGCCAATAACAAGAACCATAAATAAGTGATGGTTATTCTGGCCTGCAAAGCACATTAAATTGAAGACAGATGGATTACTGATCTGATTTAATCATTACACAATTGGCTCAGTTATGACAGTTCAATTCAGGACATATAAGACAAACCTATGCAATTCCCAAATGCAGCACAATGGTGATCAAACCCCTTAACATTTCTCTTACAAAAGTAGCAATATCTAACTCTCAATAAAAGCGGAAAGCCCTGGAAAAAGGGTAACATATTATAAAATATATTGAATCGAAATAGAGATATTGGTTGATGAACTTGCTAGAAAAGCGGAGCAGAAACAAAGCTGAAAGATATACTTCACTATGTGTTGAATCCAAATTTGCCTGATCATGCCCAAGGGATAGAGCATAGGGACCGAAGGTGAGAAAGAAGAAGAGAAAGGGAGAGGAAAAAGAAGGCTTGCCCTGCAAGGGCTAATGGGATGTTTTTGTGCTCTAAGACACATTTTATTTCATTGAATCTTGGGGTTACAAGAGAGGGGAATCAAAAACCGTCATACATGAAAAAAATCCTCTTATTTATAGATGATAGGAGACCAAAAGTAAAATTACATTATTACCCTTGATAAATAAGGGGTAGTTGTTGACCTCATTTTTGTGAGGTCTTTTCT